TATATATATATATATATATATATATATATATATATATATAAATATATATATATAAATCTCTCTCTCTCTCTCTATATATATATATATACATATATATATATATATATATATATATATATATATATATATATATATATATATATATATATATATATATATATATATATATATATATGTATATATATATATATATATAAATATACATATACTCATATAGTGTCGCTTTAAGAGCATTTTAATGTAAAAAAAGTCTCTTACGACTACAATTTTAATTACCTCGTCTCTTAAGCTGTTTTTGATTGTCATCGAAATGTCAAAGCAATTAATTTATGCGGAAGTACATTAAATTTAATTGTTTTTTAAAAATTTTTTAAAAAACCGCAATTATAACGACTAGAAAGTTTTTTTTAATTAGTGGTGTTTTTGTTATTGATTTAATAAAAAACATTTTTTAAACATGCGTAAATGTTGCTACATCGACTATCTTATAGCCTGACTCGCAACGGAGTGCTGCTACATCGACTGACAAATAGCCTGACTCGCAACAGAGTGCTGCTACATCGACTGACAAATAGCCTGACTCGCAACAGAGTGCTGCTACATCGACTGACAAATAGCCTGACTCGCAAGGGAATGCTGCTACATCGACTGACAAATAGCCTGACTCGCAAGGGAGTGCTGCTACAACGACTGACAAATAGCCTGACTCGCAAGAGAGTGCTGCTACATCGACTGAGGGTTTGGTTTGGCCAGGCAGTCTATCAATTAAAAAAAAAAATTTAATTTTTAAAACTTTTTCTGGTCTAGTTTATTAACGCGCTCTTTAAAACTACAGTTTATGGGAAATATTTTTTGATGCTACGCAAGAGACATGCAAGACTATATATAATTATATATATATATAAATATACATAATTATATATATATATATATATATATAAATATATATAAATCTCTCTCTTTCTCTCTCTCTCTCTCTCTCTCTCTCTCTCTCTCTCTCTCTATATATATATATATATATATATATATATATATATATATATATATATATATATATATATATATATATATATATAAGCACAGTAGTTAAGCTTACTTCTATTAACTTCATCTTCTTTAAAGTGTCTCTCACAAATATGCAAAGATTCACTGGCAATTTGCTTCCTTAAAGCTGAATCAATTAAACAATCTTTTGTTATAATCTCGCTCAATTTTTTTCTCCATTGAACGGAAAAGTCATCCTGACCTTTAGGAAGACTGAATATAGCTATTCCATGTGAATAACGAGAGGTATGACAACCATATACTGAACAATTTGCTCCAGGCATTGTATTTTGATTCAAGATCTCTAAAGAAATTTGTTTTGTTTTGCACCTTAAAGTAGGCTGGGTACTAACGCAGATAAGAACCTAACATCAACGGCAAAACCTATTGTTTTCAACCCGTGTTTCCAGACTATTTATTTTTATGACTATGCTTTAACATATATTTGATTAGAAAGTGCGGACTGAGAAATATGAGGTGCTGATTTTTTGCCACAGTTGCAAGTAGCTTGCCAAATCAAAGCTTTATTAGCAAACTTATCTTGTTTTGTGTATTTAAATTTCTTATCTGCTTTTCCTTTATATTTGGCAATATAATAGACAGCACCAGGAATTTGCTGATAATCATACTTGATAAAAGTTTTATTGTCTTCAATAATTCAGAAATATTTAGAAATAAAATTGTCATACAATTTTTTGCAGCAAGTTCTTGGACTTTTTTGTTAAGTTTCAGATTGTTTAGGCTTTTTTTCTTTGAAAGAATGAAAACCATGTTTATTTTGAACTTTTACAACAAAACTATGAGAACTTCATAAATATTTGCACGGTTCCTTAGTGAATGGCTTGGGTTAATCTTAAAACTGTTAACCAGTTTTCTAACTAGTTTTATATTTTTAAAACCCTCCTTTGTTCCACCACCAAGTTTGCATTTGATCCATTTTGTTTGAGAAAAATGTTGAATTACACAACTAACGGTGTATGTGTGCAACGCCCTTGCCATCAAATTGGATTGGATTTTCCAAATATTTGTGTATAATTTTTTCTTTTATGACTTTTTTTTTTTTTTTCATTTTTAAAACTAATTTTAAGTTGTTTTTTTTAGTCCATAGTATTACATATAATCATAGTCCATTAGTATTACATATAATTACAAAATGATTTTAAATTATTCAAATAAAACAACTTGTTTTATACATTTTTATTACTATAATATGATAGAAATAACTGCATCTAACTTTACTCTGCTAGGAATGTTCTAAGGTTACCTTCATAAATTAACGAATTAATAAACAAATAAATTAAAAACAAGGAAAAAGTTAAAGCCTATAAACAAATGATTTTATAAAGAAAAAAGCAAACACAACCAAAATGGAAAAATTGAAAAAGGGGTACCTGTTTTGGCACATAACTTAGCACACACTATAAAAAGTGTCTGCAATGCTATAAGTGCCAAAATA